TTTCACCAAAAAAACTTTCTCTACTGTAAAACTGCTGCTGTAAACCACAATTAATATGTGACTTATTAAAAGAACTGTGATAATCTGGTAGGTGGTTTAAAGTTCCCAGAATCTTTTTTTTTAAGTAGAAAAAAAAAAACAGACCATTAGAGAAGAAAGCAGAAAGACAATGCATTTTTGAAGGTTATAAAAAAGAGCTAGTAGCTGGGAGGATTTCAAGATAATCCTTTTTTTTAATTCTCAAACTTCTTGTATTACATTATAAAGTTCAGTGGTTTTTGCAAAAACAAAACTTAAAAAAAAATCCATCCACCTGTAAACGCATTTACTGATTGTGTAAATGCCATTGCCAAGTGGAGCCATGAAGTTCACTAAAAACCAGCCACTAACACCCCTGAAATGCGTTTCTTTTTAGTGAGTACACGGACCGGGGTCTTCACCACATTGTGTCTCCTCCCTGCAAGTCTGTGTCAGCACAACAGGATGCCTTCTTCCTGCCTTGACCTAGCCGGGGTTTCTGAGCAGCAACATTATGACATTTTGGATCAGAGAGTTCTCTGTTGGAGAGGCAGGAGTCTGTCCTGTCCACTGTAAGACACTTCACAGCTCTTGGGCCTCTCTATGCAGGGGACAGTAGCGGCCACTCCCATCCCCAGCCAAAAATGGCTCCAGGCACTGCCAAGTGCCCCAGGGGCAAGATCACACCTGGCTGAGAACCAGACATTCTTCTTCCATTTTCCTTCAAAACAGTTAGGTCTGAGTCCGTGGTTAACTTTCATAGCTAGAAACTGAAAGCTGCTGAGCTGTGGACTGAAAATCTCCAACCAAGGTGAGTGGCTTTCTCCGCAGGTGTGAAAAGGTACTGAACACATTCCCGCCCATGAGGTTAGCCTTGATGCATGTGGCTTTTGTGAACCCGATTTCTTCCTTTGCTACAAAACATAAACAGGCAACCAAACCCATTTTTATGGGAGGCTACTGATACATACATAGGCTGAGGCTTAGAAGGACTCTCTCATGTTCTGCTAAGGGAGAGTGGGCTTGACCCAGGAAGCCGCAGCCCAGCCTCACTCACATCTGATGATTCAGTGACAATTTAGTTTCCCTAAGTATTTAAGAGTTCGGGGACATATATTTCCATGTATGAGTTTGTTCATATATATTTASATATATGTATGTAGATGTAYGTAGATGAGAGGGTACAGCTGGGTGTGAAATCATACATCATTATGTGCTTTATATTATTTATTGGGTGAGTTTACATTTGTAAAAGGCAAATATACACATTTATGTACAGGCATTATACATACATATGCATGTTTTGAGAACTGCCCTCACTCCTGTCACCAAAATAAAATCCAAAAGGATCTAAGGATTAAATAAAAATAAAAGTACAAGAGGAGGACATGAGAAATTATTTTTAAAAAGAGTTAGGTTGGGCACAATGGTGAACTCTGTAATCCCAGCAGCTTGGGAGGCTGAGAYAGGAGGATCATGAGTTCAAAGCCAGYCTCAACACCTCAGCAACAGTGAGGCACTAAGTAACTCAGTGAGACCCTGTCTCTAATAAAATRCAAAGATTTAGCTGGGAATGTGGGCTCAGTGGTTGAATGCCCCTGGTTCAATCCCTGGTACAAAAAAATAAATAAAATATCTCAGAGTCAGGACGATCCAAACTAGTCATAAAACTTAGTGATCACAAAGAAAGATTGAGAATTTGACTCTATCAAAATCAAGRCATTTATACGTAAAAAGAATATCAAGAAAATGAAAACTGGAAACATGTTTAAAACTCACATGAGAAAGGGCTGATTTCCCTAATATGTGAAATGTGCCTAAAATCGGTAAGATAAGTGTGCAAAGACCATGACCTAGCTCTCATTCCTAACTCGTGAGTGTGAGCCACTTGGAGAGACTTGGTAGTTAAAGACAAGCTCGGGGCAGGCCACCTGTCAGAGTCCTCCCTCCCGGCCCCACATGTCATGTTTGCTAAAGGAGAATGACACTGCTTWCCTCAAGGTCACCAAACGAATTAAGTTAACAATGAAAAGCATTTGGAATAATGCCTGGCCCACAAGAAACATCCAATAGATCTTGCTATGTATAAAATAAGTAAAAATCAAGAAACAATGAAATATTATTTTTACCCAACGAGACAAAAGACAAAAATGTTCTGCTGATTTTACAGTATAGATAAAAGCATGAACTTCCTCTCTCCAGCTGCCTCTCGTGGGTCTCTGGCAAGAGTGTAAATTAATGCAAACTTTTTGCAAGAAAACTGGTGGTGTCCATCAGAATTTAAAATGCATTTGCTGCATGGAGCAGTAATTCAACCTCCAGACTGTAGTCTCCTAAAAAATTCTGCTTATGCACAAAGATGTGTATGTGTAAAGATGAATACTGGAAATGACCTAGACTTCTTTCCATCCAGATGACACTGCCCAAAGAAATCAGGACATCCTACAACTCAACATGTTCAAGAGGCTGGCAGAGACAAGTGCTAAAGAGCACTCTTGGGAAACACTTGAATGGATTTCAAAAATATTTAAATGTGTGTGTACATATATGCTGTCTAAGAATTATTTTTCACTCTCCAACCACAGGAAAATATATATGTAAGCCTCCATCAAGGGGTAATTTCATAGAATTTGCAACTTAAAACCCATGATTTTAAATGTTCAATTAAACTTTAGAGCCTAATAATGCTTTCGGTTTTTTAAGCTTAGATAGTTTTTTAACTATCCTCTGTGACCTGCTCCTCCTTTACCCCACTAACACTTCCCAATAACAATATTTTTAACCCAAGCAAATAATTTAGACCATTAAATAACTATAAATATCTCCAAGGGGGAGGCAAGGACAGTCAAGTAAGAGTTAAGAAGCTGACTCTTATCTCAGGCAATTTTGGTGCTAGCCTGTTTACTCTCAACCAAAGGAACAAAAGTTCCACACATGGATGTGTTCTGCTGTTCGAGGAGTGCTCTGCTGTGCCAGGAATGCATGTCGCCAGCCAMGTGCATTACTTCCTGTCCTAAAACAGCCCCGTGGGGCCAGCACTGTTCCCTGTCCATGCCACACATGCACAAACCGAGGCACACAGAGCCTAACTGGGGAGACCGTGACCCCAGAGCCTGCTGGGGGACACCTTCCCCCCAAAGCCCAGGCCCTGGAGAAGACCCCGMGACTCACCTGTGGACAGCCCCGCTCCGGAGAGGTATTTTTTCTGTGGCCATTTGCAGCACGTGGTCCCACTGACTCAGGGCTTTCCTGGGGATGAGGAGGCGAGAGGCTGGGCTTATGAGGTCCCCATTGGCAATCAAGCTGTGGGGAGRAGCCAACGGGTTCACACAGTCACATGGACAGAATTCAAAATCCCAAACCCAAAGGAAAACACGAAGCCAATTTCAACTTGAGACTCACAAAATGGTGCAGGGCTCCTGCAGGGGTTTCCTAAAGCGGGCGGACACGTTGATCTTGCTGTGGGTCACTGGTTTGACCTTTAGGAGCAAAGAAATCCAGATTGCTCAATTGTTTGAGATCAATAAAACCATATATTTTGAATAACAGCTACTTTCTCCATTAAGAATGGCAAAAAATATTCTCTAAGTGTTCATGATTAACCAACTGAAGTGGAGATTAATCATAAATCATAAATATATACTTCTTAGAAGTGAAAATGTTTATTACCCCCATTTAATTATTACTGTATATATGTATCAAAGTACCATAATATTATATCCTGTAAGAACATACAGATATTATGTCTCAATAAGTAAGGAGCTATGGCACAGGTGGTAGATGGCTTGCCTCACTTGCACAATTCCCAACACCACACACACACACACACAAAAAAAAAAAAAATCAATAAGTGAAATGGTGTTGGTTCAAAACTCAAACTTTCATTTTGGACCCAGCAGATTTAAGGTTTGATTTTGCCAGTTGGTGAGAGAATCACCCAGAACATATGGCCAGAATATCAGTTCTGCTGGGCTCCAAGCTGTCTTGGGAAGTCCAGCTCACCAGCATGCTGAGTAGGTTGGCATAGTGAGCTGAGAGAGGCTCACGAGGCTCACCAAACCCTCACTTCTAGTCCCTGAGTAAAGAATGCAGGGCAGACAGATGACGGATGGATGGATGGATGGATGGATAGATGGATGGATGGTTAGATAGACAGGCAGACAGACAGGCTGGCTGACTATAAATTTTTCTTGGAGGTATTTCCAAAGTCAAAGATAGCAGAAGTGAGCTAGACCGTGCCCACCCTGCTGGAATGGGGTGAGCCTGGACTCCTAGGTAGTCTTTGAATATGAACTGCACACTTTCCACAATACATCTCTCTGTCCCAGATATCATATTTAGATTGTATTTTGACACAGGTGACCATATAAAAATAAAATGCTTCATATGAACTTGATAAGTCTAAGTAAATAATTAGTTAAGTTCACAAAACCCAGGACACTTGCTAAGACAAAATCACAGAGGGTCAAGATTCAAGTTAAAACCTGCGTGAATTTGTTTGTGGAAAATAAACTCAATGGAATTAAAATTGTTGATGTATGGAATAATAAGATGAAACTGAGTCTGAAATTTTGAACTCCAGAACTAATTGCCAAACTTTTTACATAATCCAGTTCAATGTCTCATGCCTCAATTTCTTGACCCGTAAAAGTAGGACTCATTCTGCTAAACTAGCCCAAAGGGAGGCTCCGAGAACTAATTAGTGAAGTGGCAATGTCAGTCCCCAGGGCGGTTAAACCAAATGCTTCGGAGAATCCACCTGCCTCAAATCTCAGCACTCACCACCTCTTGACACCCTGAGCCAAGAGAACCAAACTCAGTCTTTGGACCTGGGAAAAGGACTGTGAAATGGGGACTATCCCACACACTTGGTGATCGCTGACCTCCTGTAAAAACTGATCACGCCATGTAAAGGCTGTATTTTCAGTAACTTTTTAAAAATACAAGTCACATTTTTATGACTGTGTGTTGTAAGGCAGACTTAGGTGTTTAGAGAAATAAATGAACTCAAGTTAATTATCTGCAACATAGAGGCCAGCCTACACAAAAAGTTTTCAACTCCAATTTTCTTATGGTATCTATTTAAGAAAAAGTGGGTTCTCAAAAATGATCATATTTAAAGAAAYTTTGTTAGTACTTTACAAACAGTGCATCAGAGAGGAGAACAAAATACATCACAAATATTTAATYGATTTCCCCTACTTTTTGATAAGTGAAAAGGGCCAAAAACCTTCATAGATACCAGAGAAGAGACAATTTATCTAGGAGTCAAAATGCCAGAAACAGTCAAACTATAGATCATTCTAGTGAGACTGTTTTTAAATAATCATCCGATTTTTCAATATTGCTATTTTTAAATGGAAGCAAGAGTGGCTGAGATGTGTGATGCAGAGTGACCCGCAGRAGCCACCCAACAGTGCCCTGCGGTGGATGGTGTGCATCAAGCTGAGCCTGGGAAGGGCCAGAGTCAGAAGGCAGGTCCTGGTGGGACTCTTCCCTGACCTTCACGGAGGGAAGCCACGTGTCAGGGGAAGACTCCTGACACAGCCTGGAAGGGACCTGGGAAGGAGAGGCTGATGACCACAGGTGACAACGATGGCCAGTCTCCTCCAAGGAGCAGTTGACTTTCTGAGAAGAGCAGCCTCCTCTGGTTGGGAAGGAGACGAGGGAGCCTCGCGCCCACCATGGCAGAGAAAACGGACACGGGTCTTTCAGATCCCACTGAAAGCTCAGGACACAAAGACGTCTGGATGCACAAGTTCCGGGGCGGGGGACCCTCTCTAGGTGAGAAGACACCTACAGCTGCTTTCATCCCAGAGGACAGAGGCAGGGGAACGGACCTCCCACAGACCAGCAGGCCAGGTGGCACAGAGAGCTCCACACCACGGACACCTTCTTCCCGGGGACCTCCTCAGTGCACAGAAGGGTAACAAGAGCTAGCAGCAGGGCCAAGGGCTGAGGGAGAAGTCCCAGGTGTGGGAGGCCGTGGCCGGGCTGGACCACAGGATCTCCAGCTGGGCAAGCACCAAACGTGTAGGTGAGAGGGGACTAGGACTCCTCCCCCAGGGAGCAGAGCCAGGCAGAGATGACCGAGATGTGGGAATCAGCCAGCAGGGATTTTAATAGTATTATAATATGTTGAAGAATTCAGTAGAGAAGGTGAAACAGATGAGAACACAAATTGAGAGGCAGGGAATTTTAGTCCAGAAATTCAAACTCTGAGAAAGATGCCAATGGAAATCTACAACTAAAACAGAGAACATGGGAATGAAGACCATTTTGTGGCCTTAGCAGATCAGACACGATAGAATATGCACAAGGGAAATACCTTTCTAAAAGGAGGTGAGATGAAGACACCTTTTAGAAATAAAAGCCAAAAGAACTGACTGTGAGCAGAGCCACACCCCAAGACGCTCTGGAAGAAGTTCCTTGGATGGCAGGGAAATAAGACGGAAGCCCAGACCAAGACAGAATAAAAGACACTGGAAAGAAATGTGCAAGTCACTTTGAAGACATTAGTCACATTTTTAAATTTTAAAGCAAAAATAATCACCATGATACATGAAGTTGGTGACAGGGAGCAAAATATTTAATATGAACGAAGGTCAGAGTGAAGGTCTGCATGGCCTGGGAGAGACTATTTGTGAACTAAAGGTAAGGGCGCACGTGGAAAGCACAGGAGAGCTGCAGTTTCCCCCCCCCCTTTACCTACTACCTGCCATATATTCTTTACCTGATCTTATTATAAATGCTGAATAACCCCAATGGGGGTTGAAGATTGTAATTTATTACCCCCAAGAAAACTTCTACAAATTGCAGATTCCAGGCGTGGTGCCAAAAGCAGGCCAGCCATGAGAATAGTTTCATCAGTATTTTTCTGCAGTGATGGTTTTTTTCAAAATTCCAGCCACTTCAGAAGGAAGCTTGTTATAGAACGTGTCTCTGGTTATAATGAACAGGCTGCTTAGAACACTCCCAGAAGGGTCCAATTAGTCTCCATGAGCTGATGAAACCACTCATCTCTGCCTGGGTCCTGTTCAGGTCTTCTGTTGTCCAGGTGCTAACTCCCAGGAGAAGGGCAAAGTTCATCTGTCAAGGTGGGTCAGCTTCTGCCATTCAGACGGTGATTCTCTGCCAATTACGGACACTCCAGCACCAGTTCACAGGGTTGCTGTTTGAACTGTTGTCTAAGTGAATGCCTCCTTTCATTGAAGCAGGAAAATGATTTAAAACAAGTGAACAAGCAATGCAAGGTAACGGATTCAAAACAATGCAAGGTAACAGATTTCTTTTTACCTTAAAAGTGACCCCAAAGATCAGATCCCCATCACAAGTAACTTTCCTTGGAAAACTCCAAAGTGTGAATATTCCCTAAATAGACATTCATGTTGCCAAGTCCTGGCAGCAAGTTCTGATCCATTAAATCACAAACTTCAAAGGATCGACATTACAGTTCACTTTCCTCCTCAATCACAATCTGCAGATCATTTTCAAAGTTCCAAGAGTCCTGAGCATTCTGAAGATACAATGTTAAACCTCAAGTGTATGAACTTTATTCTAGAATTTACTATGATTTACAATGGTCATTTCTCTCACAGGAAAGCCAAACAGTCCCCAAGTCCTGGTCAGGGCATTCACAAGTCACCGTTTCCCGAATGCCACGCAGAAGAGAAGAACRCAACCCCCATAAGGTTAAAAAATAACCCATTAACCCGGGAGGGCTCTGGGGAGGTGAACTGCCACTAACCAGGCGGGGCAGGGTGGTGCGGAGGGCCGGTCACTGTGCTCCCTCCTAACCTGCCGCACCACACTCACTTCTTTGCGTTGCCACGTTTTGTTTTGTTTTCCCAAAGCAGATTCCGGTTTCCAAACCTCTCCAGTGAGTGGAATGTGCACTAAACACAGGGCCTTGGAGGGGCGCACACATCAATGGGGATGAGAGGCGGTGACGCTGGGGGTGGGCCGCGGGGGGCAGCTCCACCTGCGCCGGAGTGAGTCACCCGGCCGGGAGTCCACTGAAGAATGAGCTAGCTGGACAGGATCCCCAGCTGGACAGGATCCCCAGGCGGTCTCCCATTAATGCTAGGGAAGCTGTTAACCCACCAGACCCGGGGAGGGAAGCTCCGTTTGTGGGGAATACTGGGTTATCACCTCTGATGCCCTGGCTTGGAGGGCGCACCATGCAAGAGCGCGCACGGCCCACTCTCGTTGGGCCTGGAGGGACAAGAGTGGCCAGAGAGGAGTGAAGTATGAGTGAAGCTACATGGTGACTCAGGGTCCTGGCTCCAGGCTTGCACCAGAGTCCTCTTGACCTGGGCGGCTCTGGGTGCTCAGGAGCAGGATGCAGCACTGCCTTCTGAGGCTCTCTAAATGCCCTTCAGGTCTCACAGTCTCAAAAAAAAACACTAAAGTATAGCTGAGTGCAAGTTACCTTGGACAAAAGTAGAACTTTTTTATTTAAAAAAGAAAAACTTGGAAT